TGTGCTGCTGACCGTGAATTGACCTGTGCATGACAGATCTGGCTTCTCCTTGTATCGATCTTATTATCTAAGTTACTTCCAATCTTCATTTGCTGTAATTTTTTTTTTCGATTAGCTTTCTGGTCATATATTCTAGATCGTCGGAGTCTTATCGGATACCCATTTCTGTTTCCATTGTAGGAGCGTCTTTTTTAAACATATTTTAAAGTGCGTTGGAGATAGACAGCAACCCTGATGCTTTAATCCTTTATTCGGCATGAACCCACTAAAGACTGAGTTTTTAATTTAAAGTTTTTATATATTTCTTTGACGTAGATGGACTGTTAATAGCTGATATTTTTTTCCAGTCTTTGTGTAACACAAAAGAGATGGTCGACAGTTGATCTTCCTGCCCGAAATCCAGCTTGTTCTTCTGCTTCGTAGTCAGCGAATTCATGTTTTATTCTGGCCTTAAGTACTCTTAATTATAAGCTTTTTATAAAAATATTAAAGATGGAGCATATAAACAAACTTAAATGAAACGCCGTGGGGATTAATACGGTTGACTGATGTTTCGGTTTATCAGTGGCCTTCTAACTTTATTTAAAACGCGAAGAAAAATTATGTAGAGTAGACTCAATAATAGTTTTGTTTTGCGTTGCCAATTTTATATCTTTATATCCACGAATTTTGTTAGGTTAGGTTAGGTCAGGTATTTGTTAGATTAGTCAATTTGTATTTTTTAAACGCTAGGCTTTTGCCTCATTTGAGCCAATTTTAAATGACACAAATGCAATTCTGGGACACTAACCGTAGCCGTAGAACTTGCGTCTAGGTTTTGGGTAGGGTATTTCGCGTTACAATCTCAACAAAAAATATGACCCCAGAGATTAACCAACGCCATAACAACACACCTACCTACGACGTGTTTTGATTGCTATTACTGACAGCTATAAAAAAATAAAAACAGCTGTAAAAATATATTAAAAATGTATATTCGTTGAACTCGAACGTCGGTCCCTAAACGACCGCATTGCCAATGGAGTCACAGCTGCTTTTTTAACCAGGCTATAGCTAGACATTACTTACTCCGCAATAGCATTAAAATAAGGTTATGGCTGATGTCATTGGCACGTAAAGCGGCCCACAAACGGTCAATATTATTGCGCAATATTTCATATTGTCCAATAATATTGACCGTTTAGGTTTTACATTGAAAGGTTGCACAATATATTGTGTCAATCAAAATCAGTTTGATTTTTATTAGGCAATAGTGATTAGTTTGTATCGTATGTGGATAATATTGCACAATAGTTCAGTTATATGTTTGTTTTCTCTGCGTGTTTGTCTCGCTGCTCGGCTCTATTTAGAATATTTAGATCAGTGGTTTGTCAGCAAATATGGGATCAAAAGCAAAAGAGGAAGAAAGACGATTTATTTTAGAAGTCATCGAAATGTAGCATTCTTTGCCAGCTTTATGGAATACAAAAAGTAAAGAAAATAGCAACAGAAATAAAAAAAATTAACAATATGATGAATTACTAGGGAAATATAAGGAAAAATATCCAGACGCTGATAGAAAACAATTGATATGCAGGCTGAATTCGCTGCGAACTAACTTCAGGATTTTTTCTCAATCAATTTCCTTTTTTCAATTTCATGTGTGGCCATTCTTAACAATTCCTCAAATGTTGCTTCATACATTCGTAGAAAGTTTCGGTAATCAGCAGGTAATCAGCAGGTCACTAACTTTTAATTCTTTTAATAGATTTTAATGACTATACTGGCTTCTTTTCTTAAACCAATCTTTCGACTTATACCTTCACTTTTGTTTCTTTGTTAAACAAGTGGCCAAAACAAATGCAATAGCAGCTTATTTTTTCTTATCCATGTTAATCAAAGTGCAAGACGAAACTAGTTACTGAGCAAATTCATTGTACTGTTTGGAGATAACTAACAATATTATTGGGTAATATTATTGCGCAAAAATATTGACCGTCTGTGGGCCCCTTGATGCGCAAGTGCAAAGCTTTCCGGCAAGTATTTTTGGGGTGTACCTAGACGCCTCTAACCGTAGGTACTATAATGTAATAGTATAAACTGCAAAACAAATTATATTTGACGATGATGAAATCATAGGTTGACAACTTAAGGTATGTTGATATTTGACTGGATTTACTTTGTTACCTGTTCAGTTTTAATTTAAAAATAGATGCAATTTTTCTTAAATTGCTTAAAATTGATGTATTGATTGAATTGTTTTTTATATTGCATATTATTCAAACATATACAACTTAACCGAGTTTTAGTGTTTAAAATAAAAATAAATACGTCTGAAAGAAATTAAGGGTAAAGGTAAATAATATATATTTTTAATTAAATGCTTATATTTATTTAGAAGCGTAATGTATTTTGGGACAATTATTTGATTAATTCGAATTTTAATTAAAGTATTTCAGGAAAAATTTATATTGCAATTTTTGCATTACCGAACAATTAATTTAAAGTAGATTAATTATTTTATATGTCGATATTTTAATTTATTGCGTATTATTACAGGAAAATTAGATCCGAGTTTTTAATTAATATTTATTAAAATATAAAGTATATTCACATATATCGATATAAAAAATCGCTCTTATGTTTTAATTAATAGAGCCAAAGGAAACTGGCATGTGTTTAAATTAATAAGTGATTTATTTAATTTTTTAATTGATTTATAAAAAATGTCTATTGATTGAGAGTTGAAAATATGTCGTATATTTTGAAAATAGAGAGTTATTTACTGTACTCTAGATTCTGCTAATGATCACCATTTATTTCCAACTTCTTTTGTGACCAACCTATAAATAAACATAATAAATGTCTCTCATCGACCGCTAGGCACTATAACAAAAAGAAGCTTATGTTCTATAACTCTTTGAGAATCTCTCGTCTGCCAAGAAAAGTTCTCCTTAAAAAACGTTGGTTCTTTTATTATATTATCTAACATCACATTGTCTTGTAAGATAAAATAAGGGACTTGAGGAATAAAAACACATCTCGGTTTTCCATAGACAAAAGACATATCTGCCATCATATATGACCATATTATTCAATAACTACCAACTTTTCAATAACATTGCTATTTAAACTGTAAAATGAACGAGTTATTATGAATTTTATGATAAATAAAATTTAGATTATTTATACCTTCTGATTAAATTAGAAGATAATTTTTACTATATCATATTATCATAATGAACAAATTATTTTGATGTATTATTATGTCTTTTCCAATTTGACGTATTAACTCTTTAGATGTTGACAAGTCTGGATGGAGTCCATGTTCGTATCTATTACGGTTCCCGAGATACCAATGCTCGTACCTCGAATTTGTAGCACCCTGTATTGTGTTATAATATGTAAATAAAAATGTTTTAATTATTTTGACCAGAAGTTTTGATTGGCGTTGATGATAGGTGACTAGTTCGAAATTTCTACACAGATAGTTTCCATTTATTGTCGATACGTAGATGATTTGTGTCCGAATCCATGTCAATTTTATAAAATCATGAATTTAAATTTCGCCATTTTTGTTAGTGATCTCGTTTTCAACTAAAAATATATGCCCCTTTGTGTCCGAATCCATGTCAATTTTATATAATCATGAATTTAATTTCGCCATTTTTGTTAGTGATATCGTTTTTAACTAAAAATATATGCCCCTTTGTGTCCGAATCCATGTCAATTTTATATAATCATGAATTTAATTTCGCCATTATATATTTTTATTTTCAGAACTATGATATAGAAATGAAAATAAAAATATATATTTCAAATAAAAAAATATTTTGTAGCAACAAATAATCATATTATAGAAGGAGCATTAAAAATATGAAAGTACATTATTAAATTAAACGACGAATTTGTTTTTGCCAGACATTTTTTGCGCGAGAAAACATAAAAAGAAAGATTTAAGAGAAAAAAATGATGGCGGAGGTTGACATTGTTGCTGGTTGTTTTCATTTTGAAATCCACACACAGATATAGACTATTTTAACATCATGGACACAAATTGTAGAAAATGTTTCGAAACATTTCCTCGAAGAGTTTTGATTCCGTATCAAAACATTTCAGGAAGCGGTGGTAGTGCCACCACATTGGAAAGATGTAATAAAGCAATATAAAATATATATGTTTCTTATTTGTGGTATACCGGTTCCATTTTATGTCAAGAAGCAAAAACACAATTATTAGAAACATTATCTAAAATGTGTCCAAAATGCTATTTGCGTTTAGACTAGATTAGTTTTAGACTAGTTTAGACTAGACCACCGTTCGAGACGCAATGATATTATTTTGGTCTGTAAGTTTTGGTTATTGAAACAAAAAATGTCATTAAAGGCGAAGTAAATGGTTCAATCCTGTGACAATGTTGTCTCTGGTTCACCGTAAACGTCTAACCTATAATCATTGTGATCAGCCTGTATCAATCCTTTTAGTATTCCATTATTCTAGTTCTTCTTACAGTGCCATACTCTATACCTATAGAGCGTCGGCTACCTCTCGCATGTACTTGTGATGTGTTTTAGTGTTTCCCAAGTACACGGGACCTACAGTTTATTGTCGAATCCGAACGGCACTATTTGAGAGGCTGTACAAGGCAAATATGCTCAAGGTGGTTTGCCATTGCCTTCCTTGAGGTGGCGGCTCGTTGGTCGCTCTATTTAGATAAATAAATATTTTTATTTAAATAAACAAATCAACCGTACTAGCCAAGTACTTTCCGCTCGAACCGATCGAATCAAGTACTTTCCGCTCCGCAGATCGACACACTAAAGCTGTAGCTATAACCGTGTGGCCGGCCACATTATTCTAGTTGGGAAATGTTAAAAATGTCACGATCATTTGTTTGTCTCTGGTTTATAAAATCTTCTGCATTTACTTAAAAAACAACATAATGTAGAAAAAGAACTATTTATCTGTGACATTTATAACCGATATGAAACTAACTGATGTGTAAATATTTTTTCTTGCAGGTTTATTTTCATATTCGCATATGGATTTCGAGGCCGATCGAGATCCCGGGCCCTCGGGGGATCCCTCGTTGGCCGATATGACACGTTCCGCGCTCTCCATCCTACTGAAAAATCCCAAGGGTTTTCTTCTGGTTGTCGAAGGTTAGTATTTGATTAAATTCTATTGTGGCGTTGCACCTCGCCAGCTTTTGCATTATTTGCTTACAGAATAAACGATAATATGAAAATGCTGGCCACTGGGGAACGGAAAAGTTAACCTGCGTTTGAAAATATATAAATTCTGGCGAAATTTAAAAATAGTGTTGCGGTATATGCATGATGTCAGGATAAAGGAAAGTTGAAAAATGGGAAATATTTCTCAGTAAAATATTTATACATAACATAAAAACTTATTGGACTTGGATTCATTAGGATTCATTAAATCTTTTGTACAGTTTATTATAGGCTTGGTGCATTTCAGTTGATTTCAACACATTCCGACCGCAGCGCTTTATACGGCAGAAATGAGAAATTCTCGCGATGTATTTCACGCCGCGGCCGTCCCGGTTACAATTCATGTTGATCGCATTAAAATAATATTAAAATCGTGGCTTTTTTTCTAATATTTAAGTATTTTAGTTTTTACATAGACACTCAGGTACGAGACACTCAGGTACGAGGTTTGGTTAGGTTAAGTCGTGTTGTGTTGTGACAACGGTCCAATTCCTTCAATTTCTTTATTTCTACTACTCTAGTGGCGGAAATCTAACTGTTACGCTCGGTGGGTTCTGACTGGTTTGGCTAGATCTTGCCACGCCTACTTTGTACCCACTGAGAGACTATATAAACGCTCCAATTGTAAATTGTATTTTAGTTTATAATCATCTGCTGATGATGCTAACATGGTGAGCGAAACGCGCGTCCAGTGTAAAAGTAAATAAATTTATTTTCTAAAAATTCAACTCACCTGTCATCGTCTGGAATCATTTTGCTTCTTATTTTAAAATTTGCGTGTTATTATGAATTCATAATAGCACTAGTGCTATTATGAAAGTCGTAATGATATCCAAATGACAATGTTAAATGTGTCACAATGACATTGTCGTAGATTAAATATATAATAGGTTTGTTTCAACCGGACCGAGAACCGATCCTGGGACGGTAATTTCTAGTCGCCCACTTATTGTTTGATCGTTTGTCAAGATTAACAAATTAATTTGAGTGATAGGAAATTACCGTTCTAGGATGGTTCTCTCGTCCGATTGGAACAAACATAATAAAGGTGAAAAAGGGCTCCTATTGTACTGCAATTATACTTAACAACAGGTCAAAATAAATACCTGCGATGACAATAGTATAATAATATTTAAATAAAATTATATAAGGATTCTTGCCACTTAACTGCTTATATAGAAATTTAATTCTACGCTGTGTTTGTCATAATGTGGATCAGCCTGCTCTCACTACCGGTTTCGGAGCCCTACTCCATCATCAGGTGAGCTTGGGCAGATCCACAAAAGGACAACCACCAGCGCAGAGATAGTTAATTCCGACTTGTCGGAAAGTGTCGGTTAGATATTAAGTCCCGAATGGGAGATAGCGGCCTGCGTGCAATGGTAGTACATTCGTACCACCGGGCGCAAATATCGATAGTAAAAGAATGGTAAAAGGCTTTTTTTCAGGCAAGCCAAATTATAAAATAGAAAACAAATTTCTTGCAGTATAGGTATATAATAAAATTATATAAGGATTCTTGCCACTTAACTGCTTATATAGAAATTTAATTCTACGCTGTGTTTGTCGTAATGTGGATCAACCTGCTCTCACTACCGGTTTCGGAGCCCTACTCCATCATCAGGAGCCATTTACCATCTTTTTGCTATCGATAGTTGCGCCCCGGTGGTACGAAAGTACTACCATTGCACGCAGGCCGCTATCTCCCGTTCGGGACTTAATTACAACAGGTCAAAATAAATACCTGCGATGACAATAGTGTAATAATATTTAAATAAAATTATATAAGGATTCTTGCCACTTAACTGCTTGCCACTTAACTGCTTAATATCTAACCGATACTTTCCGACAACTCGGAATTAACTATCCCTGCGCTGTGGTTGTCATTTTGTGGATCTGCCCAAGCTCACCTGATGATGGAGTAGGGCTCCAAAACCGGTAGTGAGAGCAGGTTGATCCACATTATGACAAACATAGCGTAGAATTAAATTTCTATATAAGCAGTTAAGTGGCAAGAATCCTTATAAAATTTTATTATATACCTATACTGCAAGAAATTTGTTTTCTATTTTATAATATTTAAATGGCAGTCTTTATTGACACATAACTTTGAGTCTTGGTACTTCTGTAAAGGATTAAATAAAAACTAATAAATATTTAATAACGGTATATTAGGGCTTAATAATATGAATGTTTATAAACTTAACAATTATTATGAATGTCTAGAAATATTCCTTTGTATGTAAAGGAAATGATTGCAATAAAATCTAATGAGACTATTTCTAAACTGAAAAAAATTAATGCTTACACTTATTAATATTTAATGTACATCACTTTAATACGTTGTAGAAATATAATAAGAAATACGTAATAATAATATGATAAGTGCAAAAACATACCATGTTCATTGACATAAATATATTTTATTTTATTTTTAATATAAGATTAATGAAGCAATAATAAAAAAAGTTAAAATAATGCACCAAATTATTATTTTGTTAAAAAATCTTTTTTACTCCATAATCCAAACTACTTAAAATAATATGCATAAAATTAGTAAAAAGCGCGTAAATTTGCGTAAAACGTAAGGCATTCAAAAATATATTAGTTTTTCAAAATTTAATTAAAAATATGTTAATGTTGTTTATATTTCGACACCAGAAACACGATTATGAGGTTTTTCCGCGAAAATTGTTTTTTGGAAATATCGAATATTTTCACAAAAATTTTCGACTTTTTTTATAAGTTTTTTTTTTAGTTTTCAGTTAAAGAAAACATATGTAGTAGATTAAATTTACAGCAAAGAAAATCCAGAAAAGATCCAGTGGTTCCCAAAATTTTAGAAAAAAATATTTTTTTTTAAATTTTCAAAGTAAAATAACTCCGTTATTTTGGACTTAAAAAGGACGGTAAATATAAAATATGTTTCTTTTATCGAGATCTACCAGCCCTGAAAATATTTGGATTTATTTAAGACTCACCTTGTATAATATAATAGATTTAATGAAAAATACTTATTTGTTTATATTTAATAAAATTACTGACTACATTTCTTGCCGATACAATATTAGTAATTTCTAAAACAAAACTGATATGAAAAATACCTCGAAATAAACTATAGTATATGTATTTGGTAGGTAAATACTAAAAAAGTAATCTTTGACACATGGGGTTTAAAGAAAACTATACTCCAATTGTTTATGTAAAATAGCCTATTTATTATACAAATAAAAAAGTACACTACCTACATACAAAAAATAAAACATAATAGTAAAAAAAATGTTAAATACTAATATACAAAAATTAAACTAAAATAATTCTAAACACTAAATAGAAATAATTTTTCTGGAGTGGCGAGGTCCTCCTTCTTGGACTCAACTCGTCTTCAACTTCTGACTGTCTTTTTAGCACATATATCACTGCAGCTTACATAATTTTTCTTAAAGTTGCACTTTCCTGTCTTCCCTTCTTTTTTCCTAGGTAGATGTGTTAAGGTTTTTCTAAATACTCCAGATATTTTGCGATGTTTCTTCTCATGGCACTGGCGATAGTAGAATATTCACAGTTTATTTGGTTTGGCAGGGCATGCGTATGTTTTGAAATTTCTTCAATCACTGTTGAATTTGCCTTTCTGATTATTGCAAAACAGTGCGGATTGCAGCAAATCCAAAATCTCGGTTCTGGATCCACGTTGTTGTCGTCTCTAAAAGACCGCCTCTTGTACATCTGACCTTTGTCCATCGTTGCAGTTTTGTTTTGTTGTACTAGATATAGGTATTTAGTGGATAACTATCTGTATGAAACTGATGTATATTCCATAAACACCTTTTCTTTTATACCTGCGACTTCCTTTGCTGAGAAAAGATTAGATTGTTTCTGCTCCAATGGGGTGAGAGCTTAGTACCAGTTGGGGTGGGTCATATTTATGAGGGCCAATGGAAATAAATAAATAATAAGAAGAAATAGTGCTAAAATATTTTATTCTTTCTTGCCATTTTTAGAGAAATCTAACTGTTTTCGAAAATATACAGTATGTCCCCGGATTGTCGTTAGAAGCGGAAAACCTTTTTATTATTGACGTTTTGAGAAAAATGCTTCCTTTATAAAAAAAAAATCCGCAAAGAATATTATAGTTAACACAGTTAAGTTCGTAGTAGAACTATCTTTGCTCAAAGTATTGTATAGAGGTATTTATTTAAAAAAATCAAAAAACGCATTAAATAATATTCCATATTTTGTTGCAACGTATACAGGATGCGTATATAAGTGCAAATATGTTTAACGGTAGCATATTTCGACCCCAGAAACACGATTATAAGTTTTTTTCAGCGATTTTTGTTTAGTTTTGGTAATTTCGAAATTTTTGAAAAAAATTTTGAATTTTTTTTTTAGTTTTTAGTTAAGAAAACAAAGTTAAATTTTCTTTGATAGTATGGCAACATATGTAGTAGATTAAATTCACAGGAAAGAAAATCCAGAGAAGATCCAGTGGTGGTTCTCAAAATTTTAGCAAAAAATATTTTTTTTGGACTATGCGTTTTATTATGAATTCATAATAGCACTAGTGCTATTATGAAATTTTAGCAAAAAAATTTTTTTTTTGGTTGATTTGGATTTGCGTGTTATTATGAATTCATAATAGCACTAGTGGTATTATGAAAGCCATAATGACATAAAAATGACAATTTTAAATGTGTCATAACGTCATTGTCGTAGATTAAAGATATAATAGTGGTGAAAAAGGGCTCCTATTGTACTGCAATTATACTTAACAACAGGTCAAAATAAATACCTGCGATGACAATAGTGTAATAATATTTAAATGACAGTCTTTATTGACACATAACTTTGAGTCTTGGTACTTCTGTAAAGGATTAAATAAAAACTAATAAATATTTAATAACGGTATATTAGGGCTTAATAATATG